AACACGGGATGCCGCGGTTGCTATGCAGGGAGGGGGTGTCCTCCATAGCGCAACACGTCACAATATCAAAGTACGGAAACTTGTTGCCTTGATACATCGGCTACTGAGGTACTGTAATCGGACTTTGTCAACTTTGTGTAGCATGCTAGGATGATTACAGACGGGGTTTGGATTGGTAATCGGAGTTATTGAACACTTACAGAGTGTAACTACAAGTAACTATATCGCTATCACTGATCACATAATCTGCAGTTCACTATAGCACGCAATATTCTCAGTCTGTCTTCAGCAGTCGTTGCCTGGCAGCGGCTTCCAACGGCGGAGGTTCCCCTTACTCTCGTTTCCCGAAGTGCCCCCGTGCCTCAGCCACTAGCTTCTCATAGCAACAGATGACAACTACTGAACTGCATCAGTCCTCTAACTCGCTCACTGTCACCAATTCACTTTAATCCACCCGAAATCGCTCCACATATTTTCTGCTTATAACATTTGGGTACGGACCGCACAGAAAACATCGCTTTCCAGCCAGTCCATTGGTGCATGTTAGGAACCTGTGGCCTAGCAAAGGCTGTTGCTATGAGAAGCTAGTGGTCGAGGCACGGGGGGAGTTCGGGAAACCAGAATAAGGGGAACGTCCGCCGTTGGAAGTCGCTGCCAGGCAACGTCTGTTGTTTACATAGCCATAACTTATCAACCTTGAAAGCAAGACTTCCTCATATTAGAGAATATGCTGGAATTGATGTCCAAAATTAAGTAAAATTAAAATTTGAAATCCCGACCGCCTGTGCAAGGCGTCGGACCGTTTTCCACGAATAATTATGAAGCCCAGCGACAATTTTATCATATCTATCGTCATTGAGCACTCAACAGCTTGATTTCTTTTCCTCCTCAGTAACAACGAAATAGACGCAGAACTTCCCCTTGGCTAAAACAGACAGCCTACCCAGAATCTGCTGAATACGTCATACGGGGCAGAGTTACTAATAGGTCACAAATAGATAGAAAACTTAAATTATAATATTCGAACCTTGGAAAAACATGTATTTCTCTATATATCCTCCACAAACACTGATACATGTGTCCCGTCTCTTTACCTGTACGTCGAAACCGCGGCATAGAAGTCTTTTGAGTATTGTCTCAGCCACTTCCGCACCAAAGTTTCAACATCTTCGTCATCTGCTAAACGTTTGCCTGCCTGCCAGTTGTGAAACAGTTGCCAGCCAGTTGCGAAACAGTTGCCAGCCAGTTGCGAAACAGTTGCCTGCCAGTTGTGAAACAATTTACGCTACAAGCATTTCACACCGTAAAGAGGAATCATTTCTTTATTACTATCCTTTGCATCGTGTGCTTTTACCTAAAAGAAAAAAACTCACAAGAGAACCCTGTCCTTCTGTAATATACTCCTAAAGCACGGCCACCATTTTGACTACTGAAATTGGCCTCTGAAAATGCGCATGCGCGCATGCTGCTACAAAAAAAATGCGTAGACAATGCCCAACCGAGCTCAGTCTTATAAGCATCTTGTTCTGTCATAGCGGTAAGCCTACGAGTTTTGAATATAGCTCTTTACTTAACTCGAAGAGTATATTATTAATATGTTGTACATTTAATTATTTTGTTTTAATAAATTTAGGAATTTAGTTTATGAAGTAACAGACGACTTGCTCAAATTTTTTTTTTCTAACCTTAAGAGCTCTGCAACTAAGACGAAATATTCATTCCGCCATCTTTGAGCCGATTGTCTAGCTAGGATAGCTTTACCTTTACTTTTTTACTTTTTACGTACCCCCTGGTCCTCGTACATTTTAAAATCCCAGAAAATTTTATTCCTCCATTTGTAGCCCGTCACCACATTTGCATTCAGCCGTGGGCACAATTTTAAATTTACTTAAGCCGCTTTAAGACTGGAGTGGCCTGCTCTCATACGGTTTATTGACACGAAGGCGCGAGGTTCATTTTATCTTGCGGAACCTCGGAAACGATCCATTCCTGCAGTACCTTTCAAAGTAGCGTTCTCCTCTGCCCCTTGTGCTTTGACACAAAAACTATCAAGTTCCTGTCATGGAGCTAGACTGTGCTGCTACCTAGTGACACACATAGAAAACTTATTACGTCATTAGAGCTCTTTTACTTCCATTTGTGACCTATTTACTGACTCCCTCGTAATTCCTTATACTTTCGGTTTCGCTAGCTCCCGTATCTTCGTTTCATGACCAGTCAGGGGCAGCATCAGACTCCGCCTGAGCGAACCAGCGATTTCGGGGAATCACTAATATGATCTCACTGTAATACAACACGTGATTCTCTTGGTACTGTGGCCTCTGATGTACCCATTGTATTAGCCGCCGATGATGCATGAATACAGACCTTTGACACGGTGAAGAGTGGTAGGGGAAAATCGAACTATTCAGAGAAACCCCCGCCCAAATGTTAATTTATTTGTCATGTATCCTACACTTGAAACTGTGTGACTAATTCCGGATTTCCACAGGAAGACAAACTGACATGAGCTGCGCCATATAAAACTTTAACCATTATTATAATCAGTAAAGGTTCAACAGCCGGTCACGGTAGCCCAGCGGTCTGAGGAATGCACTGTCTTTACTCGCTCGGAAACCGAGGTCGTGGGTTCGAATCCCAAACAAGGCACTGATGTTTAGTATGTGTATTTTTCTGTATTTGTGTTGTCCTGTGTTTAGGTAGAGGCCTTGCGACGAGCTGATCACCCGTCTAAGGAGCCCTACCGTCTGTAAAATAGTCATGAAACCGAGTAATCAGCCCTGTGCTGCAAAGTGGAAGCGAAGAGGAAGAACATATATGTATTAGATAACCATTTTAATGCGGGAGTTTGCTCGTTGAATAATATCAGGTTCTTTCTACTTCAGCTTTCTTACGTTCAGATTATTTTCCTGAAATTTTGTTATTTAACACTTGAAGATTATGTTTTTCGCCTTAAGGGAAGGACCGTGATTTGTAGCCATTGAAGAGAGGTGGCAAAGGGAATGTTTTATTGTCTTCAGGAGTTTGGAAATCGCGCAGGATGGTAACAGTTTCTGTACAAATAGCTACAGGCATTTACATAGTCCCTTCTCCTCCTGATTTCATCATGAATAACGTTTCTATTTGTTAATATTTTTTCCTGCCGTTTAAATTTGTAAACGTTCTGAAACGATTTATTGCACACGCCTATAGTTATACATGTATACAGTACGTGGAAGCACCTGGATACTTGACTGCGTTATCCACAGAGCCGCGATCCACAAATAGTGTTCCTGCTTCGAGAGTCCAGGTTCGGACTCCTGTCCGGAGACCCACTATCTTGAATGTGAATTTTATATCTCCACGAGTCCTTCCACTGCTGGGATAGTATTTCGAATTAAGCTAAATCATATTCGTTCGTGTCTTTTCCAGGAAATTATGCGTTAATCACCCCGCCGCCCCATGTTGCACAATCGGAAGCGTCCTTAGGATCCATTTTAATATTATCCACCTACCTACTTCTTAGTCTTCCCAGTGGTCTCTTCGCTTATGGCTTTCCCACCAATACTCTATATGCATTCCTTTTCTCTCCATTCGTGCTACATGCCCTGCCCGTCTCAACCTCCTTGACTTGATCATTCTAATTACCGTATTTACGCATGTATAGGCCGCACATTTTTTGCCAAAAATTCAAGAGGAAAACTGGGGTGCGGCTTATATTCGAAATATTCGAAATCAAACTTAATTTAAAAAATGTTAAAAGTTGCCAAATTTCGGAATAATTTCGACTCCTGAAATAATATTCCAAGAAAATTATTTTTTCTATAATTTCTGTCTAAAAATTGTGCTGCGGCCTATACACGCACGCGGCCTATACATGCGTAAATACGGTACACTTGGAGAACAGTACAAGTTATGAAGCTCATAATTATGCAGTTTTCTCCAACAATGTGTATATTTCTTCATCACTCTATCAGTTTTTTATTGCTAGTAGGGTGGGACTAAGTCCCTTGTACTGCGGCCACTTCTGGCCTATTGTACCAGCCCCAGATGATAGGTGAGAGTGATTGTGGAGCAATTGGTGGAATGAAGATTGGCAGGGGAAACCGAAGTACTCAGAGAAAACCTGCCCCAGCTCCACTTTGTCCACCACAAATCCCACTTGACCAGACCCAGGATCGAACCCGGGCCGCAGCGACGGGAAGCCAGCGACTAACCGCTTGAGCTATGTCGCGGCTCTTCCCTATCAGCTTACACCTCTATGCTCCGAAAATCGATAAAAATGTAGACGTCACGCAGACACCGTAATTCGCCTGCGGTGGGCTATTGAAATTCCGGAACTGAGTTTCCGCTTGGCGCAGATACACCCACCAGTTCCTATATTACGTCGCGTATCCACGTGCTGTGTCGCGTCACACAGACAGATCCGCAAGGCTCGTTAAAGGAGAGCGTCCGTAACCCCACTGCAGTCAGTTTAAGCTTCCACGGGTCATAATAAGAATAGGAACTTCTGGGACGTCGTCATGCAGTGAAGTTTTCGAAGAAACAAACTGCATCTATCTTCAGGATTAAAAATTGAGCTAAGCAGGTGCGCAGTTCAGTTTCTTCTTGATTATTCACAGAGATATTGGGTTTTCGGACTTTATCCATCGTCCTGGTTTTTAAGATAACTAAGAAAAACACGACGTTTCGGAAACTGGATCTGTTTCAGATCCAGTTTCCGAAACGTCGTGTTTTTCTTAGTTATCTTAAAAACCAGGACGATGGATAAAGTCCGAAAACCCAATATCTCTGTGTGTTATGCACTATCGTCAGAATTCTATAGTAACTACTTCTTGCTTATTCTTTTCAATATATTTATGATTTATTTAACAACACATTCAATAACGCAACAGAATATATGAATCATATGAGAAAAACAAAAGGAAAGAGACCACTAGAAAGATCTAGACATAGATGGAAGGAAAATATTAAAACGGATCGTATAGATGATGCGTGGTATGGATTAGAGTCATCTGACCAGTGGAGGGCTCTTATGAACGCAGTAATGAATGAGTTCCACAATATGTTGGAAATTTCTTGAGTTTCTTCAGTAACTGAGCGACTAGCAGCTTCTCAAGAACGAGTTAGTATTTCACCAAAATATGCAGCGCCGAATAACTAAATAATGATAAATCGGAAAGCATGTAGAAGGAAATTGTTTTGGAATGTTAGAAAGTACTATCGTAGCATTCGCCTAGAGTGGCTGAGGATATCCATGAAAGACCTTATTCAGGATTGAAACCAAACACTTCTCGAACACGAGTCAGAAACGTTAACTTCTTCGGTGATTGCTCCCATCCTGAAGATGGAGGCAGTACGTTACTCGAAATCGTCTGGGAGCGTCTACCGGACATGTCGTCACACTCCAAAAACCTTGAATTCCTCATGGTCAGCACTGTGAGAACCTTAGTGCCAGTTCAGTGGAAAAATATTTTCAAATGACTCATGAATCAACCAATCGGTTATGAAAACAAATCATAGAATGTAAAATATTTTGAAGAATTAACATTCATAAGTCTCTAGATCGTATGCATTTCAGTTACACTTAACTCAAGAGACATTGCATAACAGCAGAATAATTGTGGAGGGACCAGGCCTTCGGATGTAACGGCATTTCCTTGTTTATATTTTCGAGAGAGACTGGGAAATACTGCGTGATGATTCGTGGTGACTTGTCTTGATATTAACTGTTAGCAAACTCGGTGAGGCTGAGTCCGTCTTGAGGAGCAGCCAGTCGCTCAGCCACTCAGGAATTTCCCAGCATTTTGTGGTGCACGAACATTCATTAATTTATTCACACGAAACCGCCACTGGCTCTCATCTTGAGCCAGTTTAAACCAGTCCGTACTATTCCACTAAGATCCATCTCAATATTGTTCTCCCTCTTACGTCTAGGTTTTCCTAGGGCACTCTTTCCTTTGGCCTTTCCCAAAAAAATTATGTACAGTCCTCTTTTTTCCATATTCATGCTACACGCCCTGCCCATCTTATCCTCCTTGACTTCATCATTCTAATTATATTTTTCTAAGAGTACAAATTGTGAAGCTCCTCAATAGTTGCTGAGTGTGGTGAGTGGCAGTTGTGAGAAATGAGAAGCCGGCAGCTGATGTCGTGGATAGTTCGAGAACCCAGAAGAAGGGGAACATCTGCCGTTAGAAGCCTCTACCAAGTAACGGCTAGTGAAGACTGAGGAGACTTTATATGTACTGTAGTTGCAGTGATTATTTGGGATGTAACTTAGTGAAACTGTCATATGTAATTGTAGTTACGTTCAACAAATGTTCAGTAAAGACATTAAAATCCAAACCCCGTCTATAGTCAATAAATCACGTGGCATTATGATCTCGCCTGCATTCTTGGCATTATGATCTCGCCTGCATTCTGGTGACGAGACACCAAAATGTACTTAGTTATCTCTGTGTTTCTTCTCTTGACTTTTTTTCGCGCTACAGCCCCAATTTGGGCTTTGGTCTACTTCCACGAAACACTCCGTTTCACTTCGGTTTACTAGATCTTAAACATTCGGTAGGACTCCTTGGGTGGGTGATCAGCTCGTCGCAAGGCCTCTACCTGTACACAAACACAAACACTGAACATCCGTACCCTGAATGGGATTCGAACCCACGATCCTGGCTTCCGAGCGAGCGAAAACAGTGCATGCCTTAGACCGCTCGGCTACCGTGACCGGCAGTGTATAAGAATAATATATAAGAATTCAGTTCGTACCTCACAGGAAACAGATCCGAACCCACGATCCCGGCTTCCGAGCGAGCGAAGACAGTGCACGCCTTAGACCGCTCGGCTACCGTGACCGGCTCTCTTGATATTACTGAAGAGAAGGAAGCTGGATGTTCGTCCGGTCCATGCGCAGTAATGAGGTTCCAGGCCAGGTTCAAACCCCGGTCCGAAGATTGTCTATCCCGAGTGCATATTTTTACAATTTTCTTCGGCCTCTCCAGCCAAATTCCAGGAGAGTATCGACATTCTTTTAAATTCATTATAAACTAAGCATCCAACCCTTCGACTTTACCGAAAGCTCCCTTAAATAAACTTGGATTATTATCCTCTGGAATTTGACGACATTTATTGTGGTAGATGATTGCCGACGTTTCGGAGGTAAATGTTAGCAGCATATTCAAGGTCGAAGATTACGAGTAGGAATGAATATCGAATCGGTTATCGTGGAGAATACTTCAATAAATTCACGGCTTTATATAGAATTCTTGGCCAGAGGGGAAATGGAGTTCTGGCAGCTCAGTCTGCTTCACCCCCACCCCCCACTGCTGTTCAGCATACTTGTGTGCGTCGAACCATAACGTAGTTCTAGGCGTGGGAGTGGGGGTTATTCAGGAATTCAAAATTAACACCCCGGACGCCTTCTATTCAAACTAAAACTCTCTTCTCGTGTGTATATGGCACTAAAAGAAACAAGTAAAGGGAATTCAGAAGCATCTGGTGTCAAAAATGTGGTGTTTCACAATATTCCTTGGCCCTTTTTTTATGTTGTGTTGTATGATAACTCAAAATTAAAAGCTGCTTATCATAGAGATTTATTTCTGTTTTGCCTCACCACTCTCTCTCTCTCTTCGATCCAAATATTTTGCTTGACAATTTACTTTGATGACCAAGTTCACACTCATACAAAACAACAGATAAATTATACTTTTGTACAAAGTGTGACAATTTAAATCCCGGAATGGACCTGTGAAAGCAAAATTTACTTACCTGTGTGCTAGCAGCTGTTGTCGGCCTTCGAAATACTCTCCTTGTCAAGCTATGTACTTCGTGAGACGCTGGTGCTACTACCGGAAACAGTCTTGAAAATCGTTTCCTGAATAGCTGGCAGTGACGTTACGTCGTGTTGGAGGATTTCAGGAATATCAGCAAATCTTTGACCCTTCAGGGCACCTTTTAATTTTTGAAAGAGCCAAAAATCGCAAGGGGGGCTAAGTCAGGTGAATAAGGTGGATGTCTTAGCCGGGAACTTGTAAGTTTTAACCTCAGGTTTCCCGAAAGGACCTTATAGTGAGTAAATGTCTCTCTAAATCAGGCACAGTAGGACGCACGTGGCAGTTTTCTGCGTCTCGGCTACAGAAAAAGAAAAACTGAGTTCTGAGTATTCTCACCTGTTTCCACTCCAACTTGTCGATCAACTCCGCCCCCGGGGCAGAACTCTCGGTGACTGGCGGCCGCAACAGAGACACGTACTGAAACAAGAGACGTCACGTCCGGTGATGCGAATGCCCACCCTTAACTTCTATGAGAGGATAATGAAGGGACGGTATCAGATTGCTGGACAGGCGGCGCGTTTGTGCCTGTACCTGCATTAGAAGGTCGCATGAGGCAGAGTTACGTCACAATCCAATTACAGGCTTTCCTACGTCTTCCTCCTCCTTATCATGCAGCCCAGTGTAGCACTAACACGTAAAGATTATTTTCAAATATGTTCATGACGTTTTTAATTTATTATCCCTGTATATGTGTGAGGTGCTGTAGCGTAGTTGGTTGAGGCGCCATGCTACAAGCCAGAAGGTCGTGGGTTCGATTCCCGATGAGGTTATTGTATTTTTCAATTGACCTAATCCTTCCAGCCGCAGTATGATCCTTGGGTCGACTCAGAGTCTAACAGAAATGAGTACCACAAATCTTCCTGGGGGTTAAAGGGTGGACGGCACGTAAGGCTGACAACCTTACCGTCATCTTTGAGCCGGAAGTCTAGAAAATTTGGAAGACACGACATCTCACAAACCCTATGGGCCTCCACGGCCTGTTATAAAGATAGCTTTGCTTTTTATGTGTGAAGTACTGATGGAAATGACGTCAAACTTCAAAATTTTTAGTGCATATATCTCATCTTTCAGCTGATTCAAACCAAAATAACCTCCTTATTTGTACCTATAAACACACATGATCTTCTTTTTAATCGTAAATATCTGTACTACTAAAGACATATATGTGTGAGGTACACGTTTCGAATCTCAGCTAAGATAATACCTGTCCCGATAGAGTCTCGCCTTGTGCATGCAGGAATACTACGTTCAAATACAGCGCAAATGTCTCCTTCCGAATTCTAACATGCTCAGTATTTGTGATAATATTAGCTTTGTAGCTGATTAAATAACATAATACGTGTTTCAAATTTGTTTCATCATAATATGAAAATGGATAAAATTATGTAGTGAAGCACTTCACAAAATATAGTAAAACATAACTTCTTCACCCAGTATCGAATGAAGTGCGGGGTCAGAGATGAAGCCCCCATATTCTTCGATCCTGGGTCAGGTCATATATGATTCGTGGTGGACAGAGTGACACTAGGGCAGATTTTCTCCGAATATTTCCATTTCCCTTGAAAATTCTCATTCCACCAGCTGCTCCATACACAGCATCCAGGTCTGGAAACAGTGAGCCCAACTGTGGGCAACGTACCAATTTAACTCAGCTTCACCCCACCCCACGGAAGACAAATAAAATAGGAAGTTAGTTTCCTTCTGCAGTCTGTGAGTCAGGCAGGGCAGCCACTAGAATTATTTTCCCAGGAGAGGCATCAAATCACCCCGTTGATGTGGTGGGCCATCCAGAATGTTTGCTTGCAAACCTACTCTTAAACCGTTAAGTTCGTCGTAAGGAATCCAGGATAGAAGAATCAATCTGTTAATTTATTTAATTTCCATTATTAATACTTGGCCCATTTCCTTATTCCCTTCTGATCTTTGTTTCTCAAAAATCCAGCGGCGGGGCTGGGATACTTGGCTTGCCCCCCCCCCGGCAGCGTCCATGGGGGAAGGTGTCACATTTCCATTTACGCCAGTTTGAACACCCTGAGCCCATACGCTCGTACAGCCACTGAGTAAATGCATGGCATATGCTGAAATGGCAGATAAATTCCTATATGTACTCTTTGATTATGACGCCGTGTAGTCTGGCAGGTAGTTTCCAACGTGTCAAACGTAGACACCCCCATTAATCGACGTTAATTGTTTCCGTAAAACGCAGTTGATTAGCGATTTGTCGGTTGGTGAATCAAATTTTAACTTTTGCTTTACTTTTAAATATAGGGCTCATAATTCCATTAATTTCCCTTTAAAAGCTGAAAAATGTGACGAAAAAAAAAATTGAAAATTAATAAATTTGCACTACTACGCTACCTCACTGGCTGGCCGGCCGAACTGAGCATCTAAACATATACCCCTTCTTGGTGTTGGTAAAAATGTCCTGAGATGGGACTAGCTCTGTATATTGGGACCAACTGTGTAGGTTTTACCTGAAGACGGAGGCAGAATTCAGTCTCCAAAACGCTGTGTTTTGAAATATACACAGGATAATGTTTTTAGATAAATCCAGGGCGATAATGTAAAAAAAAAAGAACATAATATTTCTACTATATGAATGAATATTACCTTGTGTCTATCCAGGTTTCGCACCCAGTCGAGATCCGTAATATCAGAGATGCCTCCATGTACCACCAACACCTTGTTGTTGACCACTGTGCCAAGTGGAAGCCATCGATACACCCGTTCGATCAATCGAAGAAGACGTTCAGCATTGTGCTGGAACAATTTAGCGAAAGTTTTCAGTGACACTTCCAGCTTCTCTGCCTATCAAATGAAATTAGGTAAGTCACAAGAATGGCTGCTGATATTACATTGTATTCTCTCGTAGTTCTGCGTTTAATATCTAGCCTGGATTTGAATTTTTGTTGGGCACTTCACAATCGATCATAACCAGTTTATCTTCAATCGTTTGTTTTGTATCCTGTTGTATATGTCTCTACTGTGTAAATTTCTTCGCTGATCACAAAAGTGCTACACTTATAGGCCATCTGTGAGCCGATTGTCTAGAAAATATGGAAGCCTCGACGTCTCATAACCTTACGGGCCTTCACGGCGTGTTAAAGGGACAGATTTACCTGCGTCTCTGTTACACAAAATATGAAATTATACTTGTGCAATTAATACACAGAAATGGTCCAAGATATGGCCAAGCAAAAATCAGCAATAACCAGGTGGCAGGCCACACTCTTCAAACCTGAAGATGGAAACAGTTGGTAGACCTGTACCCAACTGCATGGCGTTATGTCCCAGAAGTTCGTGTTCTACTTCTTGTTTTACCGTAGCAAGTAATGGAACAGAATTCAATTCCAGGGAAAGCTGAGTTGTTCCCTCCTTACAGGTAATGGTAACTTCCTCAGGGGAAAAAATCGCCACTCACAAAACTAATGACAAGAGATAGGAGCATTTGAAGGAATGAAAACGTAAAGTTCTTCAGGGAATTCTTGTTTGTTTATGGGGTGCGCAAAAACATAACGTTGATTCGTCCTTCAAACAACACGTTTTAAGATACAGACCGTGTTTTTATGCCTGGCTTCCGGATTGCGCAAAACGCTAAGCATATCAAGTAGTAGCTAAGCAGTGGTTGCAGCTACATTGCGGTAGTTAAGGTCCTGTTGCAAAATATGCACGCTTTGCTGAATCTTTATATCAGTTACAGGACTCGACTACAGCGCATTCGGGTGAGGACGGCCACGGCTAGAAAGTTGGACAGTACATAAATTACCAGGACTTACGGTCGACCTATATTTTAAGCGCCTTCACACGGTCTAGTGGCGAGAGTTGTTAGTATACCTGCGCGTCTTTATGCTTTATGGCAAGGCAGATTTCAATACTGGAAGCAAATACCGCAGTAAAGCAGACCTTCCCAATGTATTGCAATATTTTTACTTCACCGAAACCCGAGTAGCGGTAAAATTCTATATTTGTATTCAGAATTATCAAATTCGAATCTTTCCCTATATGATGTTTTTTTTTCTTCTTGAGTCTGATCAAGCGTATTACGGGATAGCGCCCTCGTATAAGTCACGGTCGCTACCTTCCAAATCCTTACCTGCTTACCATTTGTTGCCATTTCATTTCGTACGATGCTATATAAGCTTCGGGGATCACACATTAAAAATTTATTTAAAAACTACCACTGAAATGTAACGCCATGTGAACAGATAGAAATCCACCGACGTTTAGAAGGAACGAATTTCCTCCATTCTCAGGGTCGATGAATAAGGCAAGCAATAAATAAAGGGGAAATAGAGGAGAGTACATTTCACAGAAATGTCGGTGGGTTTCCGCTAGAATTAATGACGTTACAATTCATATGATAGTACACTTCATATGACGCAGCAAACGCAGAGAAAACTAAGCATATGTTGCTGTCTGGTCACCACAATGCAGGGCAAAATCATTCTTTCATACAGATAGTTAACAGATCCTTTGAAAATGTGGCACAGTTCAGATATTTGGGGACGACGATAACATATCAAAACCTGATTCAGGAGGAAATTAAGAGGAGATTGAACTCGGGTAATGCTTGCTACCATTCAGTCCAGAACCTTTTGCCTTCTCGTCTGCTGTCCAAAAACATAACAATTAGAATATACAAAACTATAATTTTGCCCGTGTTTCTGTATGACTGTGAAACTTGGCCTCTGACATTAAGGGAGGAACATAGACTGAGGGTGTTTGAGAAGAGGGTGTTGAGGAGAATATTTGGACCAAAGAGAGATGAAGTGACAGGAGGTTGGATAAAACTGCATAATGAGGAGCTTCATATACGTAATTAGAATGATCAAGTCAAGGAGGTTAAGATGAGCAGGGCATGTAGAACGAATCGGTGGAGACGAGGAACGCATCCGTGATATTGATGGGAAAGCCCGAAGGAAGGAAGGAGACCACTAAGAATGCCAAGACGTAGGTGGGTTGATAATATTAAAATTGATCTTAGAGAGATATAATGAGGTAGTATGGACTGAATTCATCTGGCTCAGGATAGAGGCCAGTAGAGAGCTCTTGTGATCACGGTAATGAACCTTTGGGTTCCGTAAAATGCTGGGAAATTCTTCAGTAGCTGCTCAATTATCGGCTTCCCTAGAGGGCCTCAGCTCCATGAGGTTAGTTGGCCGATGTGACCACCTCAGGGCCAACGCACCAGCCAATGTTTATGTCTCAGAGCACCAGGGCGGAAGATGTACCCCCCGTTAGAAGGAAAAGCTGAGATCTTCACGCAACAGACCTGAGGATGGGATTCAGATCTTGCATCGAATTTTGCAAACATCTATTTCTTAGTAATGAAACAAATTATATTTTTCGACTATTGTAATGGCACCTCGACAGATTAAAGCCAGTTTCGAACACATTATTTTTGGATGATAGGAATGACACGTGAGCCTATTGTTGTAGTTTCTTTAGGGCTACAGCTCTGTGCATTAAAACGTAAATTTTCGTTTTTCGCTTCTGCGTCCGCATTAAGCTACGACCATACGAGAGTCTTTTTCTTTTCGTCCGTGCAGAGCGACCATATGTAGGCGTTCTTCGCGTTGGTCGCTGTTCATTTCCTGTTAAAGCAGTGAATACACTCCACGCCGATACAGAGACGGAATGTGTTCATTTGTGTGTGTATTTTTATGTCGAAAACAAAAGAGACAAAAAAAAAGATTACAGAATTGTAAGTTGCATAAACTAAAGAGGAACCCTGAAGAAATTTTCGAGTTGTACCGAACGGTAATCAGTTCGCTTATCCCCGTAATATGAGAGACCAAGTTTCACACCCATACAAAACCACAGGCAAAGTCCAAGAAAAAGACAACCAAAAAGTGAACTGTTCATTTACGGACACGTTGAGCTTGTGTCAGCGGCAGTGGTAATACAAGAACACGACGCCGATAGATTCGACTCAAACAGTACACAAGGGCAGGGGTTGATCCCTCGCTTTCTCTTCGTTGTTGGATAATGCGGTTTTAATGTCATTCGACCGAATTCGCTGCATTGGTAGGAGTACCTATCTGTTTTTTAATGCTAGTGGGGTGGGACTAAGTCCCTTGTACTGCGGCCAATTCTGGCCTATTGTACCAGCCCCAGATGATAGGTGAGGGTGATCGTGGAGCAATTGGTGAAATAAAGATTGGCAGGGGAAACCGAAGTACTCGGAGAAAATCTACCCCAGCGCCACTTTATCCACCACAAATCCCACTTAACCAGACCCGGGATCGAACCCTGGCCACCGCGGTAGCGACTAATTGCTTGAGCTATGGCGCGGCCCTAGGAGTACCTATAGTGATGTGTTACAGCTTGGTCAGTTTTCCTTCCGAATGGAGAACAGTATGAACGATTTCAGTTCCCATCTGACCGTAAGTCCTGTGCTCTCCAATACAAAGATCTGCATCACATAAATCAATACTGAAAGCAAATTGGCAGCCCGAAACACACATCCGCTCTGTAAAATTGTTTATCCATGTATTCTAACTTGAAATGTTTGCCTCAAATGACAGCCAGATCCGCTTTAGAGAAGTGGCGGACCCGAGGCAAATTGTGATATTGGTCCCCCAGTGTACAGGATGATTCTAAATTATTGTCGGGATTTTCGTG